AAAAGTTGAAGAATGCAACTCAGATTTGATCTAAATCAACACTGTTAGTGTACTGCTAGAACTTTTGAAGCGCTGTCAAGGAGTCTTCGTTGACAATGCTGGTTGTGTGTGACAAGGAAAAATTTACATGAACAAACAACTGAGAAAATTGTATTCAACTCTTAGCAGCTTTGTCCATCTTTCTATACAATCAGAGCATCAAGAGGCGTATAAGTTTGAAAACTAATGAGCAAACTGTCAGACACATAATTGGTTCTGTCATGTTAGCCTTGACGCAGAGACAAACTCGTTTTGAAAAGAGATGTCACGTACTTCAAGACACACTGTTGATGTGCTCAAATAAATGGTTTATTGAAAACCAAAGAAAAATGCGCTACTAAATCGAAGACAAACATACAGCCCCAACGCTAGGACATAATGACTAACAGTTGGGTTTTACAGCAAAGTTAAACTTGGGCAGGAAAAAAACTTAATTTAGGGGAAAGACATTATAGGACCTGAACATGTGACATTTTAGGGTATATATATAAATATATGTCCTCCTTCTATAAAAATATTATTGAGAAGAGTCTCCTTCCAGAGTTAAAATATGAAAAGAAGGCTCTGCCATTACAAACCATACATCTAAAAACTAGTCAAGTTTAGTGAGCCATTTATCTAAGCGTCTAGAACGCTTTCCAAAGTTCAGAGTTCATTTTACAATGAGCCATGAAAAACATTGGCATCTTAGTTGAAAACTAATATTTTGATGGTTCCAATTTCTAAAAATGCATCACCAAAAATAATTAAATGAATGAAAACATCTGACACATTCACTATTAGAAAAGGTTAACATTTTGAAGATGTTCAAATATTTTTGTATATAAAGCTTAGTACTACATATTCGGTACTGATATGTAGTATTAGTGTCTAATCCACTGTATTGCAGATCTGGTTGTTGGCAGCTTGAACTGACTCACAGACTGATGGGAGGCTTTCCTTCATCAAAACATTTCATGACACTGCAAATAGAGTAAAAATGAATTGTTTGTATTTATATTGCACCATATTACCAAAAATACTGGATTCGATCTCGTTCCATAAAAGCAATGGACCTTCACATTTTCCATCCAAGTATCTGAACATGCATTCTGCAGAAATGCAATGGTTTTAACAGCATATTATGTCATACCAAGCAGAGCATTCAGAATTACTTGAAGATGGATATTTACTGTCTAATTAAATTAAATATCCTACTCTTTCATTCAACCTCTGTCCTTCTGACAAGCACAGGTTTGACAGACCTGCCACAAGGTTGGAGAACCACTCTCAATCACAAACGCTTCCCAACCTTACCTGATTCTGGAACATGCTGTCACCACAAACCCTTGGATTCATTAAATGAGTGAATAAGTGTGAATTTACCTGGAAGATGGAAGGATTGTTGCAGATCCAACAAGGTAGTATATAGCTAACCATTCTCTCCATGCCTGCCCACTGCTTATCTATTGATTCCCTCAAAGCTGCTAGTGTAACCTTCAATGCCCAGAAGAATAGATTTTGCAATCAATGTTGCAGGTTTTGCTGTGTCAGCAGGACCGCTTCAAGTTGCTTCCAGCCACACCAACATGTGAGGATGCCCCTTTCATCTCCTCAGCAGACACGTGAAGATGCAGCCAGGGAGGTGGAACCAGAACAAGGCTGCACTTCCAGACGGCCTGTGAGAACCAGCTGTGTCAGATTCTGCAGCATCTCTCTAACCTTTGATTTACCCAGGCTAATATTCCAGTGTTGTGGAAGACATCTTGCCTTGTTCCAGCACAACTGTCTGTCCTCCAGAGCTGAAGACTTGCTAACCAAAGGCTGATCACTGAAGGAGATCTTCCTGCCCACAGCCAATGGCATTTATAGACTCCTTGAGAAACGCAAACAGTTAGGATTGATCAAGTATTTTTAAACCAAATTCAATTCAAGGATATTGTGTATTCAGCGTCCTTCTTCCTAAATGCCAGACTTCAACAGTGAAACTTCATGGAATTATTTTGACATCATTATTCTCAAGATAAAATCCAAATATTTTATGAACAATTCCACAAGGACACTTTATCGTGGCCATTTCACTACCTGAGCCACCTTTTAACAAACAAATTAAAGCATTAAGCACATTTTTTTTAATGATTTTTATCATTTCTCATATACAAACATAAACATGTTGATTCATAACAAACTGTGAAATCACCTTGCTTTGACAAGCATGATCACTGATGAAGGGTCAAAATTTCACCTTGTTTTTCTTGAGAAATAATAAATATCGCCACCTACTTTTTGCCATAGCTGCCAAAACTATAAAATAACTATACCGAAGCCCTGAGTGGGTGGAAAAATGACAACATGTAACATTTTTGTTTGTGTGAACAGAACAGATGCAATCTGTGATTTCTGCGTAGCTGTAGATGCTCGACAGGGAAATGTTAAACAGCCCAGATCCAGGATGTTTCCTTCCCTTTTCCAGCCTTTATGTTCTAAACGGCTCTATACAGACGTGCACAAAAGAGTATTCCGACAGCTTTTGGGAGGCTGGATATTCTCTTTCCGATGTATAGCACAATCCTGTCTGAGCCAGGAGAGCCAGTCAACAATCAGCTTAGATAAGACAAATAAAGGGAGATGCCGTTCAGGTTGCTCTGTCATGAGCTCAAAAATAAACCTCCAAGCAACTCCAAAATTGTGGGACTTTATTGAATTTTTGTTGTCACTGTGAGGTTGACAGGCAATCTGACTGTCGCAAATCACTACACCCACATAGTCCCAGTCTCTAACACCCTGTAATAACCACAGAACCTTTCATACCTGTGTTACCTGATATGATTTTAGTTACAGTTTTTTCTACAAAAGATATTGATGGAAGAAGTTAATTGCTTGTGAAGAAACTTAACTGTCGCCAAATAAGAGAAGCGTCACATTTTTTCTAAATACACACGTTCGAAAATTATTCTTTTCTATCTATAGCTCAAGGTAAAACAAGTAATTGTAAATTATTAAAAAGCTTCCAAATGCTTCAATGAAAGATTTTTGTCAACATTTATTCACATGAAGTTAAATGGAGTATGTGACAAACATATTTTTTGTCACAGTGGCCACACTGGAATGGAGTCACAGCTGCGATTCCACTCTCAGTAGAGATTATGCCACTGGATTCCTTAAAAATAAACTTGTTTTTATTTTTAAAAATCATGACATTCTTCCCAATATTGCCACTGAATCATCACCAAGAAAGAGCCACAAATGACTATTGCACAAGATTTGCTGTTTTTACTGTTCCAGTTTGCTCTTAAAATAATTTTAGTTTTACTCAAAGTCTGTCAAGTAATATACAATGTGATCTCTACAGCATTGCAACCCAGTGTTAGTTGACTAAATATAATTTATTTTCAATCGTTTTTTTCTGAATTTACAGAAATGATGACAGAATAATGCATTTTTCTCCACTTCACATTTATTTACAGTGAGGTGAATCCCTACCAAAACGCTTAAAAATCCTCCATTTACATTCTATTCAAAATACACAAAACATTTTGACTTAATTATTGATATTTAGATCAGAATATTAGTCAATTGGGTTAAAATAACTTGTAAAATGTGAAAATAGTTCACTTTAAATAATACATTAACCATTTAAAAATTAATATTTATGATTTGAAAAAAACTGGGTTGGTATAGTGTCTTGCAGATACCTGTTAAATTTGTATACATTTTGCCATGTTACAACCCAAAACATTTGCCTATTTTCTGTCAGAAGCTGCATAAATCTACACTTCAGGTTGAAGAATCTGTTTACAGACAGCTGTTAGCTGTGCCCTGCACAAAGATGCCCTTTTTAAGAGTTTCAAGAAGTAAACCGTCACACAAATACAGCAGTGAATGATCACCTTTTGTAGTTTCACATGAGTCATGTAGGGTACACAACAAATGTAGAAAAAGGTGCTCTGATAAGACTGAGACTGAACTTTATGGCCAACATTCAAAATGCTACTGTGGCAGGGAAGCTTGTCAGAATCAATGGGAGAAAAGATGGATTAAAAATAAAAGGCAGCCCTGTAAATAAAACCTGTTAGATGCTACACAAGATTTGAAACTGGGGCAGAGGTTCACCTTCCAGCAGGAGAATGACCCAACATGGAGAACTGCAGCAGAATGATTTAGATCAACGTATTTTCATGTGTTCGACAGACCCAACGTCCAGACTTGAACCCAATTTACCTTTCTGTGCATCAGCAACAATAATTTTAACATAAGCTGAAGCTCGCTGTGTCCATGCTGAAGGTATCTGAAGCAGCCAAACTACATTATATTACTCCTTCTGCAGAATAGTTTGATTCAAGCTCATAAGACAGAAATGTACATTTCCAATTCATGTGAGTAAACACACAATGTAGTTCTGCAGTTAAAATAAATAGAGCCAATGTGATGCAATAATTTAGCACATGCCCTCAGCGGAAAGCTGCAGTAAATGTCTTTATTTGATAATTTCACATGTGCTCAAAGCAGATAAACATTTGTTCCTTTAGAAAAAAGACAGAGGTTAGGTGTAACATGGAAATACATCAGAGCATTGTTCATTAAACAAACATTTTCATCATATTGACATGTGCATATGAGGCATCACACAGGAACAGTAAAGTACATTTTCAGTTATTTACACAAGAAAATAACATTAGCCTTCCGGCTGAATAGATGAATATTTTAGCTGATTAAATCTTGTTCATGTATTTGTGAATACTCATGATATACATTTGTACATGTTTTTATTTCATATGAGCAGCGATCATTATAGAGGAACATTACCGAGTTTGACTTTAAGGACAGAGCGTCTGTGAGAGGAGCAGAAAGACACTCGATCACACACACACACACACACACACCCACACACACACACACACACACACACCCCCCCCCACACACACACACACACACACACACACACACACACACACCCCCCCCACACACACACACACACACACACAAACAGCAGATGGAGGTAAGATGTAGCTCACTTATCTCCACAGACATTCGTATGTTGCAAACTTTATCTCTGTGTTCTCTTTTAAAACACGCAATCATGCCTCTGTGAGTGTCCACCTACCTCTACAGTAACTCCATTTGCAAGCTATTCTCAAAGAAGAGAGAGAAGGTGCAAAGGCATGAAGGGAAAAAAATAAGCATAGCCAGAATCATCATGTGCTATTTCCTGGTGGCTAGGTTCATCTCACACATGATGATAAACACAGAAGGTAACTTTTGTTCATCAGTTCAAGTCCTTTTTTTGGTGAAACAGTTTCGCTACTTATGCAGTAAGCAAGGAGCCCCTTTGTCCCAATGGTCTTCATATTGAGAGCATGATGTAACAGTAAGGTCAAGAAGAAGAAAAAAACAGTGAACAGACAAAGAAAAAGATACTAATGTCACAACCAACAGTCTCAGAAAGATTGTCAAGGCCTTCACATCATACTAATTTATGGTGTTGTGAGTTTATAAACTGTGCTACTCTGTTAACTCCTCGCCTGCTGTCAAGTTCACCCAAAGGCAGCCACTGTGGCAGGCATTCATCACAGAGCCTGGAAAGAGTCTGATTACTTCAATGCAAGAGAGACAAAACCATTGGAGGAAAGCAGCTCAGGCTTAAATCAGATCAGTCTGAGAGGCATAAGATGCCAGACTCATGTGTTTATTCCCTTCATGTTATTCCCTTTCTGCTGATGTCCCATCGTTCCGAGTCAGATCCTTAAAAGTGAGCGCGTGAAAGCACCTCAGGCTTCATTAGTCAAACGACACTGGGACATTTGACTTTATGTCCACTTAATAAAACCCCCGGTCATCCAGGACTTTCTCAAAAAGACCGTTTCCATGAGTTGCAGAGAATCTTCTGAAAGGCTCTACGAAAGTCCTGATTGAAGATGGTATAGATGACCGGGTTGAGGGAGCTGTTACAGTAGCCGATCCAGAAGAAGAACTTAAACAGCACATCTGGGATCTTGCATGAATTGCGGCAGATTCCATACAGACTGTAGGAGAAGAAGAAAGGGAACCAGCACACGACAAAAACGCCCATGACCACAGCGAGGACAAACGTAAAGCGCTTCTCCCGGGCGGCAGAGATTTTCTTTCGGTTGACGGTGCTCCGACGTTTCCGACGGGAGGAGAACAGCTCCAAGGACTTCGAGCTGGAACGCGACTTCCTGCTGGAGTATTTGGAGGCAGAGCTGCTCTTCCTGCTGGACTTCCTGTCTTTTCTGTTGTTCTGGCTTAGTTTGGAAGAACCAATGCACTTTTTTGGTTTCTCGTCCGATGAGCTGCTATCGTCAAACTCGTCTTCGTGGTTATTTAATGGATGTTTTGGCTCATTTGACGGAGGGGATCCGACGGTTTGCTCTTGGCAGTGTCCGTTCTCACGTTCTCGCTCCTTCGCGCTTCCTCCCTGGGTGGACTTGATGGACCCTCCCGTGCCTGGCTCGGCTTGGTCCATCCCATTTTCCAGAGGGGAATCCACGCTCCTCTTCTTTTCCGACATTGTCCTGGTCCTGGTTTTTGCCACTTGATAGATTCGAATGTAGACCAAGATCATTATAACACACGGAGCAAAGAAGGATCCAATGCTAGAGTAGAGAATGTACCAGGTCACGTCGTTCAGCTGACACACGGGTTTCCTTTCATTGCTGCTCCTGTCCATCGAAATCAGTGGCGGGAAGGAGATTACAGCCGAGATCAACCACACCACTATGATCATACCTTTAACTCGTTTAGGCGTTCTCTTTAAGTTGTACTCGACAGCCTGTGTCACCGACCAGTATCTGTCCAGACTGATGGCACAAAGGTGAACGATGGAAGAGGTGCAAAACAAAACATCCAGAGCCAGGTAGATGTCACACCAAATTTTGCCAAAAAACCAATAGCCCATAAGTTCATTTGCCAGAGAGAAGGGCATGACCAGAGTGGCTACCAGTATGTCTGCGCTGGCCAAGGAGACCAAGAAGAGGTTTTGGGGTGGCTTGAGAGCTCTGCTGGTGAGAACTGCAATAACAACCAGCACATTACCGACTATTGTAAACAAAATGAGAAAGCTGACCAGTCCAGCCAAACCCCAGATTGCGAGCTGGGTGTACGGCTGTTCAGATGTGGAATTAGAGGAGATATTTCCCACCTCTGTCTCATTTTCTAGGGTAGAAGAATTCAAGTAATCCATCCTTTGCTCAGTGTATGACTTTAAAAAAAGTAAATGTTCGAGGGAAAACCTGATTGAGACTTGAGCGCATATTTCCATGCATAATAAATCTACCTACATCACATTTTATTCTCTTCTCCCCTCCTGGAATCGTTCCCATCCTGCGCCTAAGTCTCCTATAGAAAAAACAAGTCAGGGAAATAGTCCAAGATGCGACTCTTAAAAAAAAAAAATCCTTTCACCAAAACGTGCGTGCAGCTCAGCGGCCAAATTTCCATGGATAAAAAGCGGCAGTCTCCTCACAGCGTCCTCTCCCATCCCGACTGCGCCCGCATCTCTCCACCTCCCCGCTGCGTCCTGAGAGAGGTTTGTAACAACCACGTGTCCTTTGCAAAAGAAAAAAAAATACGAAGAAAAGAAAAAGAAGGATCAATCAGAGACCTGCTCCACCCCGAAGGATGGAAAAAGACAGGGAGTGAAAGAACGGTGGAAACTTTTACAGAATTCACACCCAATTAAAACGCCAAATGCGTATGGAGCGTCTGCACCCTTTGACAGCTGAGAAACAAAATATTCCTTCCCCTATTTTACCGTCTCTCTCTCTCTCTCTCTCTCTCTCTCTCTCTCTCTCTCTCTCTGCCTCTCTCTCTCTCTTTCTCTCTCTGGCTCTCTTTTCAATATAGACCTTAAAACTTCTTTTGCAGAGAGAGAGAGAAAACGAGCAGAGGCATGCACGCAGGGGCACAGATTGCTGCCAGAACGCAAACTGGCAGGCGTGAAGCCCGCACCAAGGACAACGCGCACTGCTCCGTCCTTTTCTCGCTCACACTGGAGGTCAGTGTTGTTACAGTCAGCTCTACAGGGACACTTTATGGGAAACACACGCAGCTCTCGCGCCATGTTAACGATATTGTGGCTTATTTGAGACATTGTATACTGTGGTTCCCAAAACTATAGGATTCTGCTGCTGTAGGCTATTCTTTAATTGCACATATTTAAGGTAGAAATCACATTCTTCTCCTCAATGAAATTGCCAAATTTGTCTTTTCTTTTGGTTTCAAGATATAAAAAACATGAGTTTCACGATTTCATTGGAAATGTCCCTAAAGAGGCTTGCCTTTAATTATGAGGCCTGCAGAAGGAAGAAGCTCAAAGAGCAAATGGGTGATGGGTAAGGGCATCAGTACATTTACGTAATAATACTTGGCATTCTTATATGATTTATAAGCTCACCACTTAAAGTCATTAGTCGTTCTCTGGTGGGCTCAATCACAGAGATGTGAGCTGATCCGTCTGGTCTGAGGCATTTATCTCGCCTTTCTTCCTTGAGGATTGCATTTCCCTCGAGTTCTCAAATGTGGATGTACACTTTCCACCCTCTGAGCATTCAGAACACTCTCTGCCCCTTTCTGTTCGCCTCCCTCTGCTTCCCTGAAAAAGCACATAATTGGGAGCTTTTGAAGAGCTTGATGTTGCAGCTCTCCAGCAAGGTTGCTCAAATTAAATCCAAGCTCACCAAAGCTCCAAAGTTTTTTGTTGTGTTTTTTTTTTTTTGGTCTGCCTTCTCCACCTGCTGCTGCTGCTATTAACCCTGGAACCTCTGGGTGGTGTCCCCCTGATGGATTGAGGCAGTCTCGTCTCTGGTGGACATTCTCAGTGTTTGTGAGACCGGCGTGAACTTATTGACCACATCCCCCAGCTAAATACCTCCCATTAATCACAGAGCGCTCAGCCACGCTGAATTAAAGTGCAGCCACGGCCGCCAGAAATGATCAGGTCCAAATTGATCCACATCAAACCTGGGAGACGGAAGAGAAGGAGTCGTTCACATGGACCAGCAACAAAACAAGCTGCTTTTCCTCACACTGACTCTTTAAAGTGAAAAGGCAGACCTCCACTCCGGGTCGGCGTGAATACATGTTCATTAAATAGAGTCCTGGGGCCACAGCTTCTAAACACCATATATAATTGGCCATCAGTAGATGAACCTAGATATTACAGATAAACATTCTTGTTTTTTAGCACAGCAGCTCGCCTTCGAAAGAGTAAGATAGCCAGGAGCCTGCCTCTGGTAGTTAAAGAAGCTTTACAAATGACTTTCTTTTCTTCATATCAATGATTTTTTTCCTTACTAAATTGTCCCGTCTTTTGAGCCGTTGTGTTCGGTCTCACTTAACTGTGCCTCTGGTTGATGTCCTGCTTTTACTCTTTGTAATTGAGTGACCCTGCTTTTCTGTTTGAGGAATGTAGATTCAGAAATGAAAAGGTGACCAGAAGGTTTCATATTTTTTATTCTTCATTCTTGGCTAGATTACTGAGATATATTTTTTGTAAAACCTTCAAATGACAAAACAGATTTTTTGCTTATTCCGATTTCTCTTTAAGATGCACAAAATATGAGAACAGGATCCACAATATTTTTCTAACCTCCTTGTCATTAATTACAGACGCATCCAAATAAATCTGATTATTATCAAAAAATATTACGTCTGCAGTTACATTTTAAAACATAAAACTCCTTTCACACACTACTGAAAGATTTTTTGTTGTTGTTAATTTTGATCATTATGGCTTGAAGCAAGTGGAAATCCAAAACTCATCTCAAAATTTCTGAAAATTTAAATTAAGGATAAGGCTGAAAAAGAAGCTTTTTGAAAAACAATTTTGATGTTAAGTTGTTAGAGCTAACACAATCATGGGGGAGACTGTTGAAATAAGTGGTGGATTGTAAGGCAACAAGGTCATTGCTTAAGAAGTTGACTGTTCTCAGACTGTTGCATCAAAGCATATTAAAGTTCAGTGGAAGAAAAATGGTGTAGCAGAAAAAAGTTCCCCTGTAACCAACATAACCACAACCTTCAAGCGGAAGGGTGGCCAAATGTTGTATCTTTGACGTTGTGTATCTTTGAATATTTGTCATAAGTTAGGCGCCCCTGCCTGAGACACATAAGCACACCGATGATGTTAAGAAAGCACTACTGGCCTTCAAAATAAAAGTCAAATGACAGTATTTTGTGCATCTATAACAAAGTAATGGGATTTACAAATGGGCCTATCAAAGGTTGCCAGTGGGTTGTAAATTGCACAAGTCTGCTACAGGAGATTGAGAGGCGAAGTTGATTAAAGGGCTTTGACCTAAATAATAAGGAGTGTAGCTCAAGTTACCAAACTCAGACATAGTATGGTTATTATTCACAACTGAAACAAAAATACCCATACCTGCTTTAATGACCATGGTATCACTGTCTTTGTTTTACTGACAAATTGGTCTGATAAACAACCTATGGAGAAATTCAAATACATTTCACTTTATTTTATTAATACATAACCCTGACTCCAAACAAATGCCAGACAAACCAAAGGGAAATAAAATTCCCAATTATTTCATAGATATATAGATTTATTAAATCCAACTGTAAAGACAGATATAAAGTCGAGTGCACATATTGAAATGTGTTAGTTTCCAGTGGGCTGGTTGCTCTTCGCCAGGCCAAACTACTGACGGTTTCTGGGCAGCATTTAGTTTCCTTGTGTATCTTTGAATAAGGACCTAACGGTTGTGGAAATCTATATGATCACGCAAAACAATCTCACTGTGCCTCATTAGGTACTCAGTATCTTTTTACTGCTTATCTGTTCTCTGCTATTGTGTATTTATGTAGGGCAAGATCACACTTTAACATGCACCATTTTGTGACACAGGTTTCCTATCTTGATGATGTTCTAATCTACTGAGCTCATCTTAAAGGCACTGATGAAGAATCCTCTGTCGCACACAATGCTGCTGCAGAGTTCACAACTATTAACCACTGATAACAGCTACCATTAATTGTCCCATCTATGTGCTATGTTTCTTTTTTTCTTCACGAGAGAAGCTACAGTAGCAGCTGATGACAGTGACAAATGGCAGTGTTACCTGGGCACACAGCAATCTGGCCAAGAGTGAATAGTTCAGTGGAGTAACATTCAGCCCCGGGGACTTTCTCTCTCGCTGGCATCACATGATAGAGCAGATTGTAGTTCTCATCTGGTTCGTAACCTTTGTTTGACAAATTATCTTCTCTGAGGAACCGAAAGGCCAGATCAATGGCATTTCTGATTTCCTTCTTAGTGAGAGTCTGTCTAACATTTGCAAGTTCAAAACTGAATTCTCCTGCAATAAAAAGAACTGTTAACTGTTGCTCCTATGTCACTTTGTTTTCCAGCAAAACAATAATCTTTTGAAGCATTGAATACATGACATTGTCAGCAGGAAGGGCAGTTTCAAGTAAAAGTTGTGCTTTCCTCCTTTTAAAGATTTCCCTATGAATCATTGATGACTTATCCATGGACGCCAGAGTGAAGTGTTCAGGTGTCAACAGGATCCATTTTATTCATTCAACATGAGAGAATTCTTTCCTTTGCTGCTTTAGCTTTAAAAAGGAAAATGACCTCTTGTTTGCCATGATATCACTGTCTTTGTGATACCAAAGACGGTGATACCATGTCTTTGGTATCACTGTCTTTATCACTGTCTCTATTTGAATCGCAGCTTCAAATAGAGGCTGCGATTGGCCTCTATTTGAACTTTGAAACTTCCTGTAACGACCTAGGAAAAAGACATGCAAAGCTTTATGTTGTCATACAGTTTGATTTAACTTTTTCCAGAACAAACAAGGCTTTGCAATTTATCAGATCTTTTTAAATAAGATTACTTATTGGCATAATTACTATTGGAACAAGTATAATTAGTTTGCACTATGTAATATTGTCCCGTCTTTGAGTAAACTCTTCATGTACTCCAATCAGTAGTCAGTACACATATCTTTGCTTGATGAATTTCAAATACATCCACAAAGAATACTTTGGAACGGAGAGACAAGTCCAAGAACGTGTTCGTCATCTTCAGGTTGTATTAGATCAACCTGAAAATGGCAATGATTTTAATCAATAATAAATTTAAAAAACACTAACTTCAGAGCTGTAGGTCTAGAGGCTTCATATGCATTTACATTTATAACAATTGATCTTGAGTGGCGAGATACAGATCAGCCTAAAAATGGTGAATGGATTGAACTGTAAAGCATGGAGAATGCAGTGTTGGAGAATAAAATATAGGCCACATGTGCATCACATGGTGCGCCTCTTTCATCTCTTTATGTTATTAATGATAAAGATGCTTGCTTGTATAGTTGGTGCTTGGATTTCAGAGGGACGTAGTGTGAGGGGCATTGTGAATTCCTGCTGTGAATTCCTTCAGTCGACTGAGTGCATGACAATGTCATCACAATGGAAAAGGCTTTCATGCTCACGCTAGTGAGTGTAGTCAGTTGGTGGATGTTGAGGTGCAGATTTAACATAGACCAGCTAGTAGCTTCATATGTGTGACTCTCGTGTGGTCTAAAATTGGCTCAACAACAGTTCCTTCAGAGCTTCATGACATTCGTCTCCATATCCAAGCCTCACAGCATAAAGTTTGCACGGCTCCAAAGCAGTGGAGACATTTTCCCTAAAGC